TATAAAAAAAAAAAAGAAAAAAACGAAGAGAAAATTTTTTGGTTTCGAGTGGACGTAGAGTTGGCCAAATAAGGTCGTTTTCGATTCTGATTCGTCGTGTTTGTCTCTTACGTTAGGATTTCAATATTTTCAATTGAGAGAGAGAGAGAGAGAGGGAAGGATAAGGTTTGGACCACCTTATTGTGACTATCGTGAGGTGTGATATTGGGTGCTCACATCCGCTATCTTGTGATGGTGATCAAAACGAGATCTGCACCAATGTCTGTACGATATTGGACCAGTTGTTTTTTATCTCCACCAAGTAAAAAGGAAAACGTTAAGTTAGCAATAATCTAGTTGAACCGCTTGGATTCCGTGGTGTAATTATTTTTTAACTGCGGTTAGTGGCTACTTGAATGGAACATTAATTTTCGTTTTATTTTTTGCATTCTCACCTAATTGAAACTTTGTTGGTTGGCAAGTGGAAGTGGTTTCAACTCTTTTATAGAAAATTTTGTTCTACGTTCACTAACAAACCTACTACTTTCAAAAATTAGATTTCAAACTTTCCTAAAAATATATAATTTTTGTGAAACTTATATAAAATTCGCTAAACGGTTCATATTAAAGGAATAGAAATATGATTAATAGTTCAAATTAAACTATGTCTTCATGGTCCATTCATTAACAAACCTAATCGTTAGGGTATTTTAGTGCAAACAAGGCAAAAATAAATTTTCTTCTTTTAGTATGAATCAATTGATAATTAAAAATATTTTGATCATTTTAATCGAATTAACATATCTAATTAATTTTAATTCTCGAGTCGGACATCAACTTAATCACTTTAACAATTTATTTACCAATATCTTAAAATATTGACTTATCACATTTTAAATAAATAATCAATAATCAATTCAATTAAAACTTATACGATTAGCCTTAATTCTTTGAAGTTGATAACGGACAACTTAAGTTCAAAACTCTTATTCAATGACTATAAATAATTCTTTTCAAATATTTCAAATCTATTTAATTTTTTAAACCTTAAGCATTAATTATTTTTTAATTTATTTTTAAATTGATATCTAATTTAAGTATTAAAGTAAAAATATCGAGATCATTCTCAATTCTAATAGTTAATCTTTTTTTTTTGTATTTTTAAGATTTTATTTTTTCAAGGATAGTTAAATACAAACACTAATAATTTATAATTTTGCAAATTAATTCACTTTTGAATGTATTGCAAATTTTAAAGTTTAGTTGCGTATTTAGCGGGAAACAAAGAATTTTAATGCTCAAATTCTCATCCATTCCTAATTGTGAAGTTGAAAATAGAAATGGGATCTCGCTCACTCCGTCTCCCTCCATAGCGATTAATTGGCGAAGTGGTTAACTGCGCCGATTCTTCTTTACCACGTAAAGCCTGTCGACGATATTAATTGGCCATGTGACGGCTTCAATGCAGGAGCTCGTCGATCAGCCTCCTGCATGTTTCTCACTTTCACGAAAACAAAGAAAGATTAGACATTTAATCTAGTGGGCCTCGTGGTTACAGAACCCCCTCAGCTGACCGTTGAGATTGTCCATTGTGTCGTTGATATCATGTTTTATTTGCTTTACACGTGGCGATCGTTTGATGGTCTTCGCTGATATGATATGATCAGCATGGATTTTTGGGTTCCAGTCAGATGGGCCATCGTGTGCAGTATTGCTCCCATATCAAGGCATTGTTATGATTGGCACGTAGAGTTTCTGAAAAACGAAAGACTACAAGACAGGAGCGTCAGACAAACGTTGCCGTCTCTCTGTCTCTCTTCTCTTTAAGTTTTACCATTACTTTATGTTCACGTGTGTTCTAAAAAAATTATTAAATTAATATTCATTTTTACTCTTTTTCACTGTTTTTACTAAGTAAAGTTACCGAAATTTATATAATCGTAAAAGTACTTTAAACAGCCAATTACTTTTTTTTTTTTAAAGGAACCGTCGATTACTTAAACATTCATTTATATGTAAAAATTTATTGATTGAATATAACATGCACAAATCATGCTTTTTTTTTTCATTTTCTTAAACTTTCTCTCACATCAAAATTAATAAATTGGATCAAATCTAGTCAACCAGTTTCATTACATTATTGACTGAACAATAGATGTTTAATTTTTTTTAATGCTGCTTGTGTCAACCTCAGTCTGAAAGACAAACTTGAAATCATAATACTGGAAGAAAATTAGAAGTAAATATCATAGATGTTTTTTATTATTGTGTTTTGACATTTAAATTAGTATTAAAAAAAGAAAATAAAAAATAAGGAAGAGATGTCAAAAGAATTAAGTCTTTTTATTTTGGAATGGAAAATTGGAATAACTAATTCTTGAGAGACGGCCAGGTTGATGTTATCCGATTCATGCTGACGTGGTGCGTTGTCTTTCAATGTTTGGGAGACACAGCAGCATGGCTATATTCATATCAGGTGTGGTTTTATGCTGGCATTGCTAAGGTCAATTTCGATAAATAAGGTCGACTTGTCATCTTAGCTCAGTCTAAAAGTGCCTTCGGAGTCTTGTTAATTCATATTTTACAGTGAAAATTTTGATTTATCTTTTAAATCCTAAAATGCTCTTATCAAATGTTAATTAATTACTTAAAACATTAAGAAAAAATTTAAAAAATTAAAAAATCAATTCGAATCAAATAAATTGAATTGATTTGATTTGAATTTGAATAAATGATGTCATTAAAATTATTTAAATTCGAATTAAATTTATTTATTTTGATCAAATTTTAAAAATTTAAATTAATGAAATTAAAAAACTCAAAATATTAAAATTTCAAAAAAATCTAAATTTTCAATTATTTTTTGAGCCCATTTCCTTCCCTCAGTCTAATGCTTATTTGCACATTTACTTAATTTATTAATGATTTCATTCATTTCAGACATTTATTCTCTCTTTCTACCGACACAATCTCTAAATCAACTACACAATTCTAAAAATTTCACAGTTTCATTCACTATTTCAATTTGCATCGAAGCTCAATAGCTTATTATATTTCTTTTAAATGTGTAAGTTCCTTATTTTCAGGCTACAGGGTTCGCTCAATTACCTTTCATCCTGATGGGAGAACCCTGTTCTGTGGATCAGACGATGGTTTGAAGGTTTTACCTTCCATTGTAAAATCAGTTTGATTCCATCTGAATTTTTGTTGTCTTAATTGTAGGTTTATTCATGGGAGCTAGTAGTCTGTCATGATTCTGTTGATATGGGATGGTCAACATTTTGTGACCTCCGCATCAATGAAGGCAAACTTTTGGGTTGTTCGTACCATCAAAATTATGTTGGAGTATGGGTTAGCAGATGTAGCGATGATTACAGTCATTCTGATGAAACTGAATTAAAGTTCAAATTTATTTAAATTGAAATTTCGAATTATCAGTTCAATTTGTTTTGAATTTATTTGAATTGATTTTATTAAAATATTTTTTTATATGAATAGATACGAATTATAAAATATAAAATTTGAATAAATTGAATCGAATAAAAAAAATTTAAAATTTAAAATTTAAAATTTAAAATGATTTGATTCGATATTATTTTTAATTTTATGAAATTACAAATGTAAAAAAAAATTACAATCATAATTAAATATTATATTTATATATAAAAAATTATTTAATAATCAAACAAATAAATCAAAATATAATTAAATAAATTCAATCTAAAATTAAAATCGAATTTATATATAATAGAATTTGAATTTAAAATTTTAAAATTTTAAGATTTATTCCTTACCACTATACAAAAGCCTCATTGACTAATAAATTAATAGTTTTAAATCTCTTATTTTTTAAAATTAAGATTGGTAAATACCATTTACAATTTACAATTATTCATGTATGTAAACTTAACAGTATAGGATATATCATTAAAAATATAATTTATAATTTTTTATCTTTATAGTTGTCAAAATTAAAATTAAAATATTAAAATTTAAAATCTAATTATTTACCTAACTTATATGTAGAGTAGACATCGGATCGGGTTCAGGACATGTTTTATTCTCTCCGAATCCGATCTGATTTTATGTGTTATTAAACCTGAATTCGATTATATTCGAATTTTTTTTTATACTCGAATTCGATCTCGATCCGATATTATATAAATTGTACCCGATCTGAAAGTAATAAAATATTATTTTTTAAATATAAATATTTAAAAATATTATTATATAAATATATAAATAAAAAATTAAATAATTAATTAAAAATAATTTTTTATATAATATCAAATCGAATCGAATTAAATTTATTTAAAATTCGAATTCAATCCGACTAAATTTGAAATCTAAATTTTAAAAAAATACTTAATTTTATAAAATCAAATCGAATTCGTCGGAGACCAATTGAATTGTCGACCCTAGCTTATACGACTCTTTATAAAATTGAAAGTTTGACTAATTGTATAACTATGAAAGTTTGAAGTCTACCCAGTAGCCATGGACGCCGAAGTGTCAGTGACTGCAATGAAGTTAATGACAGTAGAGCAGAAGGATTGCATTGTTTTTATTTTTTTAATATTATAAACAATACTTCATAAATCGAAATTAAAACAATAATCCAAGTGTTATCCTTTTTCATTTTTAATTAGACCAAGTCAATTATTTTATTTTTTTTATTTGAGATTATGAATCTCAATAATTAAAATTAAAAGTTTAATATTTTACTAATAAATAACACAGTTTTTAATAATAAAATATTTTAGTCGAAACTCTACCTATTATATGAAGTATTAACTCATTATTATAGATATATTTTTCTAGATATTCACTCAATGTATTAGTAATTATTAAGTGTTAAAAATATTTAGTACTATTTTAAGAAAAAAAAGTTATTTAACGTGGATAAAAATAATTTTTTGTAATAAAAAATGTTTGATATAAGATTTAAATATTTATTTTATTTTTCTAAAGAATAAAAAAATTGCACTCCTTAAGTTTTCAAAACCCGTTAAAAGAAAAAAAAAAAACCCTCCTTTTCCTGTGCACAGTCGATGGACAGGTGAAGAAACTAAATAGGAGACGGAAGCAAAATTAAATAAAGGCGGAAGAGAAGAGAAACGAGAGAGGGAAGTAGAAAGATAAAGGAAAAATGAAGCTCAAAGTATACGCAGATCGAATGTCGCAGCCATCCAGGGCTGTCATCATCTTCTGCAAGTAACTTTTCAACTATTATCTGGGTGTTCCTCTCTTTTAAAATTTTGCTTCATTTCCCACCTTTTTTTTTTTTTTTGTGAATTTAGGGTAAATGGTATAGACTACGAGGAGATCAGAGTAGATATCTCAAAGGGTCAGCATTTAACTCCTGAATTCGCAGGTACTTTTCCATTCTTAATTCATAATTCAAAATTATAAACCAATTTGTCATTAATCGTTTAATTAGTTTTATGAGAATTTCAAATTGCGAATTATTGGAAATTAATGATTAATGACAACGTGTTCATGTTTATTCCAATGATTTTGTTGCAGAAATAAATCCCATGAAACAGCTGCCGGCCATTGTTGATGGAAGATTTAAGTTGTTTGAGAGGTAATTAAAGAAGATTTTGCTTACCCCTGTATTTTCCCCTTATTTCAAAGATTCCATATATATATATATATATGTATGTATGTATGTATGTATATTCACTAATATATTTGTTGCAGCCACGCCATTCTTATCTTTCTTGCTTGTGCATTTCCTGGAGTTGCAGATCATTGGTAAGTGCAGTTGCTTTCCCTTTCGCCCTATTATTTGTTAGTGACGATCTATTTTACGTTGTATCTTGGACAATTAGGCGAGTACAGACATGGATAGTGCATATTGATATTGAATTTCTTTGTTGCTTACATGTCGGAGTTCTTGCTCAGATTTTATATACCATATTTATTTACAGTGCTATTTCCCTATTTTCACATGGATAGTTGAACAACTTTGATGGTATGTCCATGGCTCAGTGTTCTAGGATGTTAACATTCGAAGGATTTTATAACACAACCAACTTATGTGCCGATGTCTATGTTCTATAGACTGTTGTGTTAATGAAACTTGTGCAGTTCTAACCACAGATTATCAATATATTTTAGCACATTTCACATTCAGTTTGAATATGCCGTCAATTATAACAAATTTTGATGTTGCTGTTTTAAGGTATCCAGCTGATGTTTTCAAGAGAAGTAAGATACACTCAGTGTTGGATTGGCATCACTCCAACTTACGTCGTGGACCAGGTGTATAATTAACCCTGAAAAGAATCAAACTATTAAGTTTTCTTTGTTCATAGTGATTTGTCATTAATGGTGTAGGATAACGTTGCTGGTATTTGCATTCTTGTTTTATGGCATGTTGTTATCCTTTGTGGACCAATGCTATTACAGATAACAGCATGTTCTCTAGGTAGGCATTTCAAGAATTACATCTGTGCACTTCTTTCCCTTAATCCCAGCATTGGACTATCAGAGATGATAAAGTATCTTACATTCTGTACTTTTGGCATCTCTCTTAAACACTAATCCTTTTTGCTTATCTATATGGCTTTGTTATCTCATATCTACATATGCCTGTGTATGTGGTTATGCATATCAGTGTCCCTTTCCTCGGGTGAGATATGGCTTTTGAACTCAATGCTTCTCTTTTCAGTCACATACGTTCTGAATACTACACTAGCACCTTTACGTGGCCTTCCATTGAATCCACAAGCAGCTGCTGAAGCTAAGAAACATCTGTCCTCATCTCTGTCAAAGATAGAGTCCATTTGGCTCAAGGGTAATGAGCGTTTTTTGCTGGGTGGGAACCAACCATCTATAGCAGATCTTAGCCTCGTTTGTGACATAATGCAACTTGAGGTATATTTGTTATGAATTGATGTTTTGTCCACATTTCAATTCTTTATTGTTGCCATTACTTCTCTGGTGGAACATAATATTCTATGATATAGATTCAGCTGTGCCCCCATAGATGACCTCATTTCTTGAAGATAAACATGCACAACCACTCATCATTATCATCTCAACAACAAGAAGAGCAACCGAGACTTTTCCCAGTACATGGGATTCTTCATGGATCTTCCCATTATGCACTTTTTAGGACCGTATCCTTTATAAGCTCCATATAAATGAGGTCCTTTTCGATGTTTATCATCTGTTTCCTTTTTTATCTCATCTACCCTTATTGAGATACAAAACAACACATGAAAGGTAAGAAAAATGTCAAGCTGGCATAGTTCTCCCAGCCAATTCTCCTGAGTCAGAGTTCTTTTTGGGGGAGCCACTATTTTAGGTTTCTTACATGGAGAAAAATATACACAAATTTGCACGTTTTTACAGCAATATTCATGATTGTTCTGCTTAATTACTACTATAAAAATGGCAAACTTTTCAATTTTAATTTTGTGGACTTTCACTTGTACTTTTTCATGCCCCACATTTCAGCAGAAGAGATTGTCATGTTAATCTATATATATATATATATATATATATTTGAAAAAAGAGCTCAAACATAGGTCAGTGATTTATGTGTTTCTGCTCAAAACATACCCAAAATTAACTTGCTGTGCTTCCTGTTATTTACACAATTCCAGTAAATGTTATTTGGTGACTATTCTAAGTTATTATTTCTATATGTGCGGCAAAAAAAAAAAAAAAATTCTTTCTATATCTTATCACTTCAAATTTAGCTTAGGATTGCTAATTCCAGAATCTTTATTATGCCTGCATGGCTTGCAGATCTATATGTGTACTGAGAAATTGAAACTATTTGGAAAGACATTGAGATTTGATAAAAATTTCTTGGACACAGGTTTTGGATGAGAAGGATCGCACTAGGTTATTGGGTCCACACAAGAAAGTTCAGCAGTGGATTGAGAATACAAGAAATGCCACGCAACCTCACTTTGATGAAGTGCATAAGATCCTCATGAAAGTCAAAGAAAAACTTCAGAATGAGCGGTCAAAGGGAGCAAATGATGGAGGTGGATCTAGCACGAAAAAGCTATCGCTTTCAAGAATGTGACCGGTGAAACTGCATTACTTTTATTCATCACCAGAATTTGTGGAGTTTAACCTTCTTTTTTTTAACAAATAAAGGCTACGCTAATGATTCATAAGCCATTATTAGCTTATAGAAATACCGCACTTGTTTTACCTATGGTTTACACTTGTTTATAGTGCATCACTTGTACTTATCACCAAATCTAGTATCCATGTTTTTAGGGTAAATAAAAAAATGGTTTTTATACTATATATATATATATTTTATCAGTTTAGTATTAATATAAATTTAAATATTTAATTATGAATTTTTATTTTTTAAATACTAAATTGACTGAAAGCATATAGTATATGAAACAGATAAATACTTAATTTTTTTTACGTCATCTCGTGAAGTTCACAAAGAGAATTTGCAGACTAAATACACCAATTAATGTTGAAATAGTTTTGTATGATAGTGATACAATCTTTCGAAACAATTTGAATGCAGTTGATGATGGTGATGATGATGATGATTATTGCGACAACGGATGATGATATTCGAATGCATTTGATGAAGATGATGATTCTACACATATTTGAGCACTTACTATCAAGACATGTCACTTCCCATTTATAGAACAAGTGTCCAAATTGCTTAGGTAAATCCATGTGAACAATGGTTTCGTCCACACATAGCTACTTTCCGTCGAAAATCTTTTCTAGAAAAACTTCAAAAGCAACCCAAATCAAATTGAGTTGGCTCAAAGAAAACCTCCCAAAATTGGCGAATGGCAAGCGTTCACACGGCCAAAAAAGCCCATGACGTTTTCTCTGATGCAAAAGAATCGTGACCCTCAACGTTGAAAGATAACTCCAAAATCACACGTGTAAACAGATATAACGCCACGTGTAAAAGGCCCTTCACAAACCTAGAAACGCGAGCCCCCCGCGCATATTTGATAAAGCTGTCTTTCACTATCCATTTGTTACGCCCGCCCAACAGGTGCCTGTTTTATGATAGCTCGTTCGACGAAATCTTATTACAGTTGCTGTTTCTAGTTCTTTTCTCTTCGTAAAGCGTTTGTTACCGAGTTCTAAGCAAACCCTTTTGAGTTTTCCTTAGATTTCGCCAGTTTCTCTGGTTTCACCCTCAATTGAATCAGGGTTTCGAAGGTCTTTCGCGTGTAGTTTGAGATTTGATCATACTATGGGTGGTCAATCCTCCAAGGGATCAGTCCATGACTTCACTGTTAAGGTTGGTTTGGGTATATTTGTCTTTAATTTATTTTTCATGGGTTCTTTTTTCTAAGATTTGGGTATTATTTTTGTATTTTGGTTCTTCAGGATGCAAGAGGAAAAGACGTTGATTTAAGCATTTACAAGGGCAAGGTTCTCTTAATTGTCAATGTTGCATCACAATGGTACTTCTAAATTTCAAATTTTGGGATCATTTTTTTCTAACACCAAATATTTTTGTCAGGTTAAATTGTCCATTAATCATTTGTTTTTGTTTAATAAGGATATTTTGGATTACATATTTAGATGATGTTGCTGCACTTTGGCCTTTTTTGTTCTTTTTTCGGCTTAACTTCTACACATAGTTGTTAATTTTCTGCTTAAATGTTGATGCAGTGGCTTGACCGATTCCAACTACACTGAGCTGAGTAAATTGTATGAGAAATATAAAGATCAAGGTTTGCTTTAGCATCTTTTTGGCTTCATTTTTGTAGATATATCACTTTTTACCCTGGAACACTTTGCTGGGAACCGTTCACGAGCCTTTTAGTTTTCAGTTTTATGCTTTTATATTTTCATTGAAGTTCATGTGTAGACAGCGCTTGAAATAGTCCAGGAAGTGTCATTTGATTAATTGATTTGTTCCTTTTCTCCTAACTCTTTATAATTCATTGGTTGTTTCTGTCTTGGGGCAGGTTTGGAAATTCTGGCATTTCCGTGTAACCAGTTTGGAGGTCAGGAGCCAGGAAACAATGAACAGATTTTAGAATTTGCTTGCACTCGCTTTAAAGCTGAATATCCCATATTTGATAAGGTACATTTATAATGCTGCAGTGAAATTATGAAACTAATAGTGTTTTCAATTAAGGAAGCTCCATGATATCAGATGTTCCTCTCTTTTCCACGGAATTTTAGGCGTTCTACATATTATTCGAGTTGAGCATTACAGAACTGACTTATTGTGGTGTTATTTGATTACAGATTGATGTCAATGGCGAGAACACTGCTCCCATATACAAATTCCTGAAGTCTAGCAAAGGTGGAATTCTCGGGGACAGCATCAAGTGGAATTTTTCCAAGTTCCTGGTCGATAAGGAGGGCCATGTTGTTGATCGTTATGCCCCGACTACTTCTCCTCTTAGCATTGAAGTAAGGCCTGTTTGTGCCATTCTTCTTTCCTTTTTTTTTTTTTTTTTCTTTTATTCATGTCTTCCCCTTCTATTAAATGATACAACTCCTAATTGGTGCTGTTTCTGTTTGCAGAATGATATAAAGAAACTGCTGGCTTGATTGCTGGAGGTTGCTTCATCAACTCAGAGTCAATTAAGTAGATACCTTTATGAATAAAATTCTCTGTTTTTTTGTTTCCCTATCTATTAGAAGATGGTTTAGTCTGTACTAGAATTTAGAAGTGTACCTCATATAATTTACCATTGAAAAATACATATTTCCTCGATATCATTGTTTTTTTCCTATCCAAGGAACTTGAATTTACTGTTTCCCTTGCATTGTTATACGTATTTGCTATTACTAGCAAGAAAACGCTAGAATTTCATGCTCATAATTCGTTAATAATATCCTCAATAATTGCAGTTCTTTCTACTGTAAAATGGCATCAACAATGGGTGAGTTTTATGTAGGATTCGTGCGGATTTCAGCGTAATATCTTACAAAACAAAAACCCATGTGTGAGCGGGTGCCAACTGACTTGGTTGATGATCACTCTGGGAAATATAAACACATATTTCTTGCTTCACTGTAAATATGAAGATAATGGATTCAAGTAAATTCGGTCTTCAGCCTTCATCAAAAACAAAATAAGACAGGCAAAAAAGAAAAAGAGCTGCATTTACTACCAAATTTACATTTTTTTTAAAAAGCTAGGCCCGCAACGAGCAACTTAGAGGTACTGGGTTCGGCTTACCATTGAAGGGATTGGGCTTACTATTAACCTGTTAACATGGGCTGTCAAAGGATGAAAAACGTGAACACGTGTAAGCAGATTAAAGAGAGGTCAAAACAGCTGCATTAAGGAATCCTCTAGTTTTGACTTTCACTTCTTTCTTCGCTACTTTGCTACTCGTCTTTCCATTTCCTATCGGACAAGACAAAGATTACTGAATGGCATGCCAAACCATAAAGAACTCAGAGTCCATCTATGATTGTACTGTGAAGGTTGGTTTGGTCTTTTTCTTTAATCCTTTTGTGTACACTTTTAAGCTCTTTCATCAAGTTTATGGCCACTTACCTTTGAGTGAAGATTAATCGGTTCTACTTGGTTTCTTTTCTAGAAAAGGATTAAAAAAAGAACATTTTTTGTATATTAATTTTTCAGTAATGGGTATTTTAAAATAAGAAGATATATGTATATGATCGTTTTGCTTCTGTCGACAGGATGCTAAGGGAAATGATGTGGACATCAGCATTTACAAAGGAAAAGTGCTATTGATTGTTAATGTTCCTTCCAAATGATATCTTCTTTGTGTTTCCGTGATCAATATTGGATGTGTTTCTTTGCAACTGAGCCAACTGATGATGGTTTATAGCCATCAATTTCTCAGAGTCTTTGGCTCCCTATCATCCTTTTTATTTCTTTCTTTCGCCAATTAGGATTTATGTTTATTGTTCTCTGTTTGGTTATTTTGTGGCAGTGGAATGACAAACTCAAACTACACAGAACTGAATCAATTATATGAAAAGTATAATGATCAAGGTTTGAGTTTGTCCCCTGCCTTATTTATTGACATCTTTAGAATAATAATTCAATACCGTAGCCTCAACTGTTTCCTTATGTTTGCATGCATTTGTTGAACTTTTATTTATGCTTATTATTTGTACTATGATGTGGGCTACACTGCAGAGTATTGGGATGAATGAATTATGAATACCATTTCAGATGATTATGTTGACAATTAATTTTTTGTACAGACTCAAATTTGCTTTTATTTCTGTAAAAGGCTTGGAGATTCCGTCTTTTCCATGCAATCAATTTGGAGAGGAGGAACCAGGATCAAGTGATCAGGTTGTTGAATTTGTTTGCACCCGCTTTAGATCAGAATTTTCCATCTTTAACTAGGTAGATCGAGAAACCCAGAGCCATGCTGCACCTTACTGTATTTTTGAAGCTTACTAAAACTTGAGTATTTTTTCAACAATCACTGGTTACCATATCCCACAGCTCTTAAATTTTCCAGGTCTAAACCTTATAGTTTTTCACTGAGGATTAAGAGACGTAGTTGATGATCAGGTAGCCCCGATTAGCATACTTGTGGTACAGAATTGATAACATGCTTTCATTAAACATAATTGATTCAATCTCTTTTATTTCCCTATTGATTTTGTTAGTTAGTAATTGATTCAATCTCTTTTTATTTTTTTCTTTGATTTTATTGAACCATCTCCTCTTGTTGTTCTGGTATTAGATTGAAGTCAATGGTGATAATGCTTCTCCACTTTACAAGTACTTAAAGTTAGGCAAATGGGGAATTTTCGGAGACGACATCCAATGGAACTTTGCCAAGTTCTTGGTCAGTAGGGATGGCCAAGTTGTTCATCCTTATTACCCCACCACTTCTTCACTTAGTCTTGAGGTGAAACTAATTCTGCCATTCTCATGCTTAAAAAGTTCCCTTTTGGCATTTTATATTGAGGTATCATTATCATGTGAAGTTAGTTTTAATCTTTAGCTTTATATGGTGTTGCTGCAGTTTGAGATAAAGAAGTTATTATGGCTTAGCCAGAATTCTAAGCATCAAATATTTGTACTCATCCGTGATAGTATGTATTCCAGATTTGTGAAATTTGTATTGCAGAATACCATGTTAGAAAATTTTCGGTTAACAAGACCGAAAACTCAATGTATGTTTGTATCATATGTCTGATGTAAGAGTAAAGATCAAACTCAAGGACCTTGAGCTTTCACTCAAATGATCATGTACCCACCTCTAAGGTGGAGAGTTTCCACACTTCTGAGGTTCTAGCCCCAGAGCCTGCTTGAAGTGGTGGATTCATCCCCAATCACATAGACAAAAGAACCCCAAACTCAAGCCCTAAGTTCTTAAACTAGTTGGAAGTGGCGTCTTGGTTGGTTGACTTTTTGTTGCTTATAATTATCTAAAGCATAAGTGTGTAATACGATGGAAAAGGTACATATTATAAAAAAATAATGGCCATTGAGAAATTATTAAGGTATAGAAAAACAAAGCTTCAGTATGTTAATTCAACTTGAGTTCAAAAAGTGGCACAGTCATTCTCATATAATCAAATATGCTTTTAGCTTTAAACATGTTCTTGTTGTCTAAATGGGTAGAAACTACAAACATTATGCATGAGTGGGCGCCTTGGCATTTCATGCTCCTCTGAGGGCAAGGCATCTAAATTATAAAAAGAGATGGGTGAAATGAAGTTCATGTATTCTTCTTTTACCAACCTATTGATTGTTTGATTATTATACTCTGCCTTCTTTCATACTTCAGTAAGATTTACCATTAACAGAAACTTAGAATTTCATTTAGATTCTAGACCCTCGTTATTGTTATGCCAATCAGGATTTACAGCTAGGACAAACAGCTCCATTGCTGTACGCTGACATTTCTACCTGTTTTTCTATCTTGTTCATCTGAACTGATTGCTTCATAAAATATAGTTGCCTTTCACAGGTGGCACAAACAAAATATTCTTGGCCCTACAGGTCACCCATATAATGATGTTCGGAATGAATTTGCTCAATGCTAACGAGTTTAAAATGTATTTTGCATACTACCAGAACCAACTCTTGATGATCTTATGCACCATCATCCTCACTCGATCCTATACATCATCTTAAATCCCATGGTTCCTACCTGGGAAATTGTATTAATCACAACTTCGGACATTTCAACTTAAATTTCGGAAAATCACTTGCAACGCAATGAAACGGCCAAAAAAAATGGCAACCTTTGTTTGCTTGAAATACCAACAGTCGGGTATTGATAAAATGCCAAACTCTTAGTTCTTGTGTCGGAAGAATATTAGACTCTAAATTCCAGTGATGGGATTCTAATCTTGATTATCTCCATTACTTAAAAAAGAAGATACCATTAACCTTAAAATGACATCTCTTCCTGCTACAGGTTAATGTTACTTTTAAATTCAAACTACAGATTTTTCAACAGGTTTACCAGCAATACTAGAGAAACAGTGACTTAGCTACAATCTACGTTAGCACAAACCCGATGCCCCTATTGGGCGAATGGGAAAGGTTTTAAATTTTCATACTTCTCAAAGATTCAGTACATGTACAACAACAGTATGTACAAAAATGCACTGATCATCCTCGTGTCAAGTCAATATCTGTGTGAGGGTTTCTCAGATCAACAGGTCGTGAACCAGGCCAAACACTCATAGAAGGGGTAGTGAAATTTGGAGTTGAAGGTGAACTAGTTGGCATAGCTGATTTACTGCTGAGCTGGGGCGTGGAATCCTTACTGTCTTTAGGGCTGGCCGGTTGTTTGTTCTTGGTTTTAGATCCTCCATAGACAAAACTGCATACCACCAGCTGCAGAAGTGTATAATGCCATTAGCAAATTCAGATGCTAATGTTGCACAAACATATTTCGATAACATAAGAGGTTCAGATGTCCAGATATTATCCATGTTGCAGAAATATATTTCGATAACATAACACCAAGCATACTTATGCATCCTTGTTCAAATTCACTCATTCCAATCAGCACTCACTGAAAACATCGCACTAGAATATAAATCTTCCCTTATGCGCATGCAAATAAGACCCTAGTCAGATTCACCTGATTTTACTAAGCACTAGCCATGCACATCTCCTCCAGTACTCACACCACTGGACAAAACAAGCTAGAATATCTAAATAACATGCATGCTACATGCACAGTGCTTGCTATATCACTATGCTCAAATCCTCTATTCTGGGACTATTTTTCAAAATGATAAGTCAGCAATAGCAATAAAAATATGCATGAGCATCATAAATAAGCATCTAATTACAATCACAAGTAAAAGACAAATTCAAAGATACCTGAACTGGGCTTGATGCAATCAATGTTGCAACCCCACCACCTATGACATGACCATCAGGAGTAGAAAGAGAAGCACTTATGCCACCTGTTCGACTACGTGGTCCACCATCCTCAGCAAGCAAGTAAGAACCCGACAAGCATAATATCTCAAAACGGCCCTAAGAAAAGCTAAAACAGATCAAATAAGTTTCCTCCAAGTTGCATAAATATCATTGAAGGTCAGAAAGGATAAACATATAAAACAGAAAGCTCAATTCGGTTCAAAAAACTTGCTTAATGCTAATAATGTCAGGTTAAACTTACAGAAATTAAAAAAGTCTTCCTTTAGTCTAAGACTAAATAGATCAGAGAAAGACGCTGTGCCTAACAACTGAGACATCATAAGCTAAAATGCAGGCCATCCAAAACACATATGAATTTTTGTTTGTTTGGGAAGTAGCACCTAATTTAGGAAGTGTGACAAATATTGGGAAGTCTGATTCATCTCTCTCAACCTCCCTCAGCAACATAAACCCACCCTCAACTCTGACTGACTTTGTTCACAAAGCATTTGACTTTGTTTGTAAAGCTACGCCAACCTTTAACCAAAAGCTATTCCAATTTACTCAAGCCCCAAATTCATCCCAGCAGTTATATGTACTCACAAGTAGTAATAACTAAGCAAAGAACCAATGAGCATTAAGGACCTAGTAAGATATTTGGGCATCAAAACAGAGTCGCGGCATACAAAATTTTACCATTTCTAATTATTTTAAAAAGGAAAAACCAAAGGAGCGTCAAGTACCACAACCTCAAATGTTACAGTAGGAGTAGAAGATGCAGGCTGACGTAGAGTTACTGAGGAAACTGTACCACTGCCTGATAAGATGCAGACAGCCCTTGGCCTTTGTTGTGAAAAGGACAACATTTTCGCTACAATGTCCTGAAAAAGAAGACAGAAATTGCACATTCCCAAGTCAAAATTTCCTTCTACATCCCTAGGAAATTGCAGATGCTATTTGCAACCAAATCGTATAAGTAAACATATTAATGTTATTTTGAGCCACCAATTCATAGGGGCTCATATTTACTTAAAGTGGGGACAACAACTTCGCACTCAATAGTTCAGAAGTGGAAAAACAGTCATGCCATCGAATAAAGTTCTGTGTGAAAGTTACCATTATGCAAAGAGAAGTGCCCTACTGAACAAGTTGAACAATGTTATCTCTAAGGTTTGCTCACCACTAAATGAATTAGTCATTAAAAGCCGGTTCAAAAGAGAGCTCCAACACCAAGGTTCTCTTATAGGAAAAGCATCAGAAGAAAGAATCAGCAAATGTGCGAATGAGTGGCCTTCATCAATACTTTTCTAATTCATATGACCTAAACAACACTTCTATTGGATATGGCATGTTTGTAATCACCAGATATATGCATAACAGCATGAGCCGTTAATTCTGATTTTTATTTAAGTGTATTATCATTGGGTTAATCGGCTCAGTAATGCAAGTTTTGTGGAAAAGACCTGTGTTCAAATCAATCTATCCCAGCAGCTATGCAATATTAAAGATTGTTATTCACATTTTTAAATGCAAAAGAAATAAGTTCAAGATCGATTGTTTCCTGTATTAAACATGAAATGAACTAGAAGAATGTAGCGTACTTCTCCAATTCCAACAGTGACCACATGAGGAGCAAAGGCCAGCCCTGCCGAACTGTTCATCCATTCACCTATCAGAAACAACTGAACCTATAAAGACAAATATAGAAACCAAGTAGCATATATTCGCAACACAGGTAGTTTATAAAAGCATTCTAATTCTACTAAGCACTAAATTTCAAAAATTCTAGCCTATCCTTATTATCTTGACAAAGTAAGAATGAGCAGAGGCAGCCATTGTAAATAGGGTAAAAAAACATTATAACAATTTAGCTTACCAATGCGTATGCATAATTTAAGGACCTCCCCCCCCCCCCCCCCCCCCCCCAAAAAAAAAAAAAGAAAAAAAAAACACACCTTTTTCATTTAAGAAACGAATCACAAAGCCTGTAATTAACTGCTACTGCACAAATAACATAATTGACAGAATCAAAGATGAATTGTAGCCTAAAACTATTGGATCACTGAGTACGACAATAAAATCAAAGCTTAAAGAGACACGTAACCATTTCCTTCATAAACATCTTAGCCACAAGCCAATTAAAACATCAAAATCCAACAAAATCTAACCTAGAGTTGCTAATTGCTGCTTCCTCCCAGTCCCAGGAGGCCGGCCTCTGCTTCTTTTTTGGCCAGAAGCATCCGATCCTGATGAAGGTTTAGGCTTGGCGGGCATAGGCAAAAGTCCCAATGAAACCTGCCCATCAGGAGCATATTTTCGGGGCCTCCCTCTCTTCTTCTTTACCGGCTCGCCCGGTGGCATTCCAAAGGACACACCCATGTTAATGCCGTGAGGAAAGCTGACATTTTTAGGCTCCCCTGTAAACGTTGATCCGACATTTGACTGAAGCTGAACCTGAGGGTTAGATAAGGGCCTGAACCCTGGTTGAGAATTAAATGCTGTTAAACCAGTGTGTGTTACTGATCCAGAACTAGACCCACCTACCCCTCTATGAATATAGTAAGGAGCTGACCCGCCTGATAATGGCATAGCTTCTCTCCCATCCATGCATTTACTATTGAGGAATTAATCACAATTTAAGGAAAAAAGAATGGCTTTTCGGTACCTAAACTTTGTGTATTAAAGCCTTTTAACCCCCAAAATTAAACTAATTCAAAATTTTAACAAAGAAGAAGCACGAAAAAGGAAGTTTTGATCACAGGGTTTTACCAGGGTTTTTCAATACGTTGACAAAATACTTAAAACAACAACAATAATAGAATTTGAAATCGCAGCTTTAAAGAAATCCTCTTCTTAACCCTAAATCATCTACGGCAAACAGAAGGATGTTCAAAGACATGGTTTTCAGGGGTTTCTTTTTAAATGAATAAATTTTAAGGACCCAAGAAGCTTCAACCAAGACCCAGATAAACAAGAGCAACAACAAGAGTTAGAGATCGAATCTTTTCACTCTTAAAGAATCCATGATTATAAGTTAACTCTTGAGCAACCAAAAAAAAAAAAAAATGCTGAGCACGGAAAGCCCAAGGACCCAGACAAAGTAGAAGCTTTTAAGGAGTTCTTGCACTCAGAGCCCTGAACTCATCAGGAAAAACAAAACCCTAGATTTGAAACCTAGGGTTTTGAGAAGATAACTGCAAGAACAAGGAAAAGAAAAAAAAGTGACAGAAAGAAAGGACAAAGAGGAAAAATGATTTGAAAATTGAGGAGCTTTTGAATTAAAAGCGTATGAAGTAGAAAACCTTTTCTTTTTTTGTTATATTTATAGAAAAATTGGAATAAAATTTTGTTGGGGGTTTCCTTATTGTTCAGTACAGAGTCAAGTCACTCAAGTGGGAGGGTGTTAGGGTTCTGACTAAGGACTTTGGTTGAGTGAAGGTACTGGGAGGGGACAATGAGTGGCCCACGTAAAGTACCCAAAAACTCCCTTACAGTGTGAATGTCCTTATCAGATTGCCATATCTTAGGGTAGTGAGCCCTTGAAACAGAAGAGGAGTGTTTATTTTTTTTTGTTTCAATGAGTGTCTGTCTCTGGTGATAGATGCTTTTGCAGTTTGCTGTTTTGGTTTTCCACTGAGATAAAGGGTGAGAAAGAAGAGATGGTAAAGGGGAACCCAAACAATGACTCTAACAGGGGGACAAAAAAAAAAAACAAATACTATTATATTATTATTTATTTCTTAAATATTGTGGAAAGGAGGATATGATGTTACCAAGGTACCATTTTGCTTCACAACCAGGAAAATGACGTTGGTCTTGGTTTCTTTCAATGGTTGGTACTTGATACAGAACAGAAGTGCTCCTGGACGGTTTTGTTTTATGAATTTGACAGATTTATTGGCCAGGTGCCCACTACGAGGTTGGGTTACAAACATTTAAGTCCAATTTCAGAAAAGGTCAGGTTTATAGGGCAGCTCCAATTTTGGGTGCCGCGGTGGGCTACTCCTTTCGAATAGTGATAACCTCATAGATTGGGTTTATGTCTGTTTAACAAAAACTGCTAATAGAAACTATGGTAGTTTGAATATAAGTCAATCATTGCATGAAGGAGCTGAAACAACAGTGGTCTTATGTTGGGGAGTCTCCCAACTGCTGAGAAGGCGGAGGCGCCAAGGAGAGTCTTTGAAAGGATTGCATAATAAGAGTAAGACCTCATTGGTTCTCCGATATAAATTAGTCACTACTGGAACTTGCCTAGCCATTAGAGTAAATAAAGCTGTTGATGTCGAGGAGGTCACATTTGAAACCAAAATGAACCAGGTCAGGACAAGGTGAAAGTTGCCAATAATTGATTATTGGGCTGGCAAAAATTACATGGCTTCAGCCACAAGAATCAATTGAATTAATGAAATGGATTGCCAAGTTCCAACCAGCTATTCTTGTGGTTATTGTTGTCTATGGAAAAATGAAGAAAGACTATCAAGCTCAGCACGTTTTTTAACTGCTCTCCTAAAAGGCTTCCGATTTCGCCACCATAATCGATCTATCCCACTCGGATGACCAAATAAACTACTACCCCTATTCCTATTTCTAATTGTAAGCATCTTTTGAGTGAGAATAGACTCAGATTTCTTTGGCACAATTCTTGGTTTTGTATGTCGACGAGGAGAGGGTGTCTTTGGCTCCACAAATTTTGCGAATGTACATCTGTCAAAAGCATTAAAGAGACGCAATTACGTAAAAAACTTGAGATCTAGTAAAAAATATTGGGTATTATACAATTACTAAACGGACTAAGGATGTATGGCCAGAAAAGACACAATTTGTATGTATACCATCGGAACCTTCTTAACCATCAACAAGTAAAAAAATAATGCAATAATATGTTCCATTAACATACCTCTCATGATCCAATGTTTCTAAATTGGACACCAAGTTTTCGGTCCCAGGCATACATGCTGCACAGATATAAGTCTTTGGTGGAGAGACTAATTTAACACATTTGATGTGGTACCACTCACCACATTGACCACAAGGAATCATTGATCTCTCATCATAGGGCTTTCGACAAATGCAATGAAGCATACTTCGAGCTCTTAATAACTGCATTAAGAAAACAGTAAAATTTTATTTTTAAAAAATAACTGACATCCTCAGTTATAGAAAGATGTGATTTGCTACCTCAAGTTCATTCTTTAAGCAAACTGGCAAACTTTCCCCCTCTGCGATGAGTTCATAAACTCCATCTAAGCCAAGAGCCCCAGAATCTGTTGCAACCTGTAGAACAAATGGATATGCTTGATTGATGGGCCATGGGAAACTTAAATAGAGTAGCAAACACATGCAAACAGGCAAAGGAAGCAAACCTTCTTGGCACAATCTGCCCACTGTAATCCAATGTCCTTCAATTCCGAAAGCTTCAATCTCAAGCAATCTTCAGGTAAAATGTTCATTGCCTCTCCCTATCCAAAAACTATCTTTAGATGAATCACACAAATGAAAATGCCTTAACGATGTCAATGACACATACATCCACAGATGCTGCTAACCATTAGAGATAGCATGTCATGTGATATTTCTCCTTCTAATAAGAATGTTATTGTTTCTCTCCCTTCTGACAGTTCACACAATGTCAACCTAGATAATTTGTTTAAAAGTTTTAAAAAGCAAACTGACCTCACTGCAAAATCAATTTGAAATGTGAGAAATTCTAATAGATAATCAACAAGGATTTAGATAAGAAACAAAATGCAGGGCTTATATCTTCAAGAGCATGAAAGAATCTGAAATGGGCACAAGGGGAGACTAACAACTCATAGTTGAAATCACGCAGAACTTGTAACTATGGACTGCTGTTGCCATTTCCACTTCATATATTAAGTAACACAAGCAAAACAAGTCAGGCAGAAATTATGTCAATCTCTGATGGCTGGAACTCTAGTTAACACTATCTCATTGCAATGAGCTAGAAAAGTTCATACGGATAATTCTAAATCAAAACTTACATCCTTTGAAAACTAAACATATTCTAGGAGCACATACCTCTTTCAAGTGCTGCTGAATCTGTTGGATTGAAGGCTTTTCTAAACCATTCTCTAAAGCATCTAACAATCTAGCAACTCGGAATCTCCATGCATATCTTGCTAATGCCCGCTCAAGATCACAATAACTTTGATGATCATATACACCTGCCATTCCAATGGCCTGTGCCCAAAAATAAAATTAACTCGGATCATTTCAATTTTCCGCTGCAACTTATCTCAAGCTTGCTAACATCATTTCAATTTTAAAAATAGTCTAAATGCTCCCTTCCAAAAAAATATGAAGAATGATATAACAGGATAAGTGGGGGCGGGGGGGAGTGTACCTTCAAAGCAGTAGTGAGTTTTTTGCCAACAGCACTGAACTGATCTTTATCGTAGCAATGCATTTCAAAGTCCACTACCTCTGTCAAACACTTTTTGAAAGCACAAGCTTGATCCACAATTTGTTGTAATATATCTCTTTCTTCAATCCTGTAACATTTATCCAACAAAAATAAATATTTGCATTTAGAAATTGGAAATTTAAAACCTACTAAAATGATCAATAAAAACAACAACAAATAAAAGAATTTTCATATTCTTTTATTGTTGAAAAACCTACATTAATATCCTTCAAAACTTATAGAAGGGCAACATTTCAGGCTAATAGCAACTGGCAATCAGTGTCGGGTGAAAGTGAAACACATTGATATTGGTACGGCCTCTTTTTTCTTTCCAAAACCTTAAATTTCTACACAGCATCCTCAATCGCACATGGAAGAAGAATTCTTTGCATTTTTTTTTTTTTTTGTTTAGCTTAATAAAGAATGTCATATTCTTCCACCATCTCTATTAAGTTCTTCCAAAACGTTTTATCAATAGACAAAACCCAATAACATAGTCGATAATAACTTTTGCAGGGATGAAAAGGCAATGCTATAGTAGATTAAAACATAAATTTGAAGATTAATCACACGTATACCGGACACTATAAAATAGCATTTAAATTGTCACACGTATACCGGACACTACAAAATAGCATTTAAATTGTCACTTGTATACCTTACACAAAAATTTTCATCAACAGATACAAGTTCAGAGAGAAGCTTCAAGTCCAAATACTTGCCATTATGTCGCTGTGCCAAGCAAGGGCCACTGTCAATAGATATACAAGCGTCTACTAAAAGACAATTCAAACAAATTAAAACGCATACCACGATGCCAACTCCATTGTGAGGTATTGATCCACCCACGAGAATCTGACAATATGAGCATACATACTCTTCTTTAGCATGACTTCTATATCCTACGCACTGCAAATGGTAGCTGTTCAAGGAAAAGATACCAATAGGATGAGATAAACAGGATATATCAATTACAAGGTGATATTAAAAAACTTGAGTGGGTAGAAAGTGTGCATGCAAAATGACGAGAAAAATGGAACTATAGACATATAATAACACTGCAAACTTGATATAAAAAAGTGAGAAACAGAAACCAAAGTGGAAAAACTTTTGAACACCAAACAAATACCTTACCTGTCCTTGCATGTCGAACAAGTTAAAAAATCCCAATCCTCAGAACCCGGTGACCTTTGGTATATGTGCAAAGATCTGTCTAGGGATTGTTTGATCTGGAGAATATTTGAAAAGATCATCAAAGGCATCTAATAAGAAAAGATTCCGTCAGAGTTCTGGAACACAAAAAGGATTATCTCACTAAAACCTTCTGTAAGGAACAGAGCAGTGAGTTATCATCCCCGGCAAAGTTTGCTACAGCATCCATGCAGCGTTGCTTCCACTTCTCAACCTTTTCAAGTTCAGCCAGGACCATATCTAGCTCTGCACATGTAAAGAACGAAGCTTTTCCATGCTCCTGCATGTGAAGTTTATAAGAAATCAAATAATCACTTTTAAGCTTAAAAAATATAAATTACAAACCAACTTTTTAGGGGAAGCTAACCACAATAAAAATTAGCATTTAAGCCAAAATTTCCAGTTCAAAGAAGACATTCTGAATTCTCAAATACATACCAAGTGAAGCAAGGTTTTTAAACAAACTATTAATCTGAGAGGATTAGGAAACAACAGATAAGAGAATAGATAATTTCACTGTAAAATATCATGCCTTCTATAATCATAATATAAAAAGAGTAACATACAAACGTGCAATTAAAAGTATTGGGAAAAAAATGCAGGCAGTAGGTTTTTCATTTTTAAGTTTCCTAGAAAACCTTACTAGACACAACTAGCTGCAAGATTAAAATCACCAGGACATTAGATCAGGAACTCAAATAAACTTTCTCATCTCCAGATGAAGAACCACAATATATTACTTGGAGCAAATATTAACAATAGACTCAAGAAAAACAGTAAAGTGTAATTCGCAATATCAGTAATTCCTGTCCAAACATTACCCAGCGCGCATCCATGGCATACCTTGAGCTGCATTATTTGAGACCACGACCGCTCCCCCAATTCTAAACTAAAAAACTGATGCACTTGCTCTTGCCACAACCTGCATTACAGTTAAACATATAATCAACAATCAACATAAATTAATCTCTATCAAGATAAAGATAGCACATGCATATAAACAGATTCTCACAACTCACCACCTTCAAACCCCAAACTTAGGGCAAAAAACAAAAACTTAATCATACAAGCAAGAAGAATATGTCTTTTAGGCATCACATAAACAGTAGTGTAAACTGAGGGGTGTTACATGCATTTAGGCTTAAATTTAGAAACAAGTTTAAACCAAAATACAGAAACCATTCATCATAGCATCGGGTAGTTGTAATCTTACCATACAAAAAGTTGAAACAAAAGCTACAGATAATCCAAAAGATAAATATTAGTGCTGAAGTTCGAATAGAAAGTTGTTAAAACATTCAAAAGACCCACCTATGTTTGCAGGTAGCATCTGTAAGTTGTGCAACCATCATTGGGAAGGAGATCCTGATACCCTGCATATGACATAGAGGAATAAATTCCAAATGCAAGTTTAAATGTCAGATAATTGAAATAACTACCCAACTCCAAAGTGTGCATGTGGAAGCTTTAAATTCCTACAAACAAAGAGAGGCAAAACAAGGATAAAAAATACCTGATATTCAGCAAGTATTTCTTCAGCATCAGTCAACGTGTATGCATACTTTGCGGATGCAGAAATCACCTTTGAGACATTCTGAAGCCATTTAGCTCCAAAAATTAATGAGTTCAACAAATTACCTGAAGAATGCATGATAGAAAGGTGTTCCACAATGTCCATCAAACTCTCAACATCCTGTGAAACAGAAAGACAACCCACCATTAGATGTGGTCAATATGGAAGAAAAAAAGCACTTAAGAAGATTTCTGAGCCAAAAAAAAAAAAAACACAAACTTAAAAGATGCATAGTTTATAAAAGGGCAGCAGAGAGAAGAAAACACCAAATAATCAAAACAAAGCAAAAAAAAAAGGTCTAATTCAATTTTATGCAATATTAACCCCTACTTTTATACCAGCATCATTAGTGCCAAACCCCCGCCCCCCTTATAAGCAACTAGGTCATGCAAAACAAAGCATCAAACATTGAGACAAATACTACGAATTCTTACCTCGTAAGAAGGAGTCAAATAGCAGAAAGAAAGGACTTTATTGCACCAATGCAGCGTACCAGAAGCATTTTGAAGCTTTGGAATCTCGGGAATATCTAGCCCAAGTGATAAACCAGCTTTTATGGCAGATTCAAGCAAGTTAACAAGATGTTCAATTTTTGATATAAGACCATTGCTCCGACCATCACCAATGTCAGTCACATCATATAGGCACTCCACATCTTGCAGTAGAGAATAGGCATCATGCTGCCATTTCATGCACTTTTCGAGAACTTTTTCAAGCAGACTTTGTTGCTCCAATGTTATCTTAAGAAACCTTGACTGAGAAACCAACTCCTGAAAAATGTAAAACCCGTCTCAAATTTGTTTCAACAACTTCAGCAAAGATATCGAATGAAGGAGACAGTACCGACCTTCAGATCCCCAAGTTGCAGCAAAGAACAAGATGCAGATGACCCAGAAAAATCAGATTCTAAAAATGGCTTCGTATTATTTAACCAGGAATTTGCCACTGATATTGCAGCTTTGACATCACCTAAAGATGGCATAATAGCAACTATGTCCTCCGATGTCCTAAAAAAGATCAAATTCAGTATGTTTATACACAACAAAGGGAACAATATATAGAAGAACTCAGTAAGGTAAGAGATGATGGTAATTGATCATAAAACCTTATAAGATCCTCAAATTCAGACATCTGAGCCTTGTGTGCAAGCATGTCCTTTGCTCTTTCTTCCCACTGCAGAGCACCAGCAAGATGTCTAGACAAACTAAGAAATAAATCCTCTCTCTCAATCTGCAATCTGAAATAGAAAAAATACACAAACCCTGAATGATACTTTTAGAAGCAACAAAAAGTGTAACAAAGAAAACACTTGGTGCCATCTGTTGTGAGGGACAAGGAGAGAAAGCATTACACAACAGCTTCTGTCAACAGTTGCTGAAGAAAGTCCAAAGCCATTTTAGTATCACATGCCTGAATCAATAATAATATATATAAACTGTAAATATTAGTAAATTGTAAATATAAGCTATGACTCATGCACTGTAACGTACTAACAAGTAAAAGTTGAAAGTGAAAGGATATCATTACCTTCAATGCCTTTTCCCTGCAACATGCCTTCTTCAACTCAATCTTCACAAGTGGCAACTCATCAACTGTTCAGAGGAAAGGATAAATCAACAACAAAAATTACTCCAAGAAATCACCAAAGAATAGTTGTATACAGCTATTACAAGAACCTTGAATCTTCAAAGATTGTCCATCTTCTAAAATGCGATTTAACTCATCAATAACATTTTGTTGATCCTCTCGCTGATGGACATTTCTTATAATACCATTAAAACGTGCAATCCACAAAGAAATATCAATCTGGTATTGCTTCAGAAGTCTCAACTCAGGTATGTTAACACTGAAACTCTCCATTTCTTGAAGAAGCACGTCAACATCCTGCACAAGTCAGAAGTTCAAAGTACAAGTTAAATATTCAGGCATACCTATAAGTGGGGACAAAAAACAAGAGAGAGAGCAAAGTGACTACCTTTAGAGTAAGAGAACCATTTAATACAGATCTACACCGGTCCTGACATGATTCAGCCAGGCTTACTAGATCAAAAATCATTTCTGTTTCCTGAACTTGGACCTGAAGCTCCAATATCTATCCAAATAATAATGAAATATCATATAGAGTATAAAGAAAATCACATCAATATTCCCGGGTCTTTTTTTCAAAGAAGACAGCTGTTTCACAAGATAAAGAAATTCAATCACCTCTGATTTTAACTTGTAAAGAATGTCAACCTCAATCGCTGCAGGACATTTATTTGAGATAACTTTTCTTGCACTGTCTATCCAGACCTAAAGGTCCTCAATGATGAAAGTGGATCATGAATGAAAATACACATTCAGAGATAACAAAATAAATTATGAATGTTAAAAAGATATACCTTTGCCAAAGATATTTTCTTTGATAACTTCTCACTTTGTTTCACATGGATTCGTGAGCTGCAAGCCCTTGAATACAATAACTCCAACTCATTGATCTGGAATTTAAACGATGAAAATAATTATCAAGATAATAGGAGAGGAGAAGCATCACTCCAGACCAAACTATAAGTTCTTCTGAAAATCAAAAAGTTTAATTTAAGCAGTTGGAATAAGATGTAGAAGCATGTCTAGAGATACCTTAGAGCATGTTGATAGAGCAGCATCAATATCCTGAACCAACAAACTGGCCTCTTCAGCATAATCCTGCACAAAATAACCAGCTACAAGAGTTCTCATACAAAGATAAAAAAAGAAAGATTAAACAATAAAATCACTACACTAATGTACCTTCAACTTGAGATATCCTGGATCATTACAGGGCAGAGGATCAAAACTAAGCAATTTCTTAACCCTTTTAAGTGAAACTTTCTCAGAATCACCCCCAGGAAGCCAGTTCTCAATTTTAAAAAGACAGTCTCTTATTCCTTGTGCCCATTTCCAAGCTTCAGTCAGATTCTTTACCACATTCCGGACCTATATTACATGAGAGGAAAAAATAATTACTTCAGCTATCAGTATAATAATGTACAGAATGAAGAGCAGTACAAGAATGAAACATATTAGGCTTAAAGCTTACTGCATCCATCTCTGAACCAGCCCATAGAAACTGTTCAGCTTCCTTCAACAGATTAGTATATGCATCACCTGAAAAAGGATTCTGCAAAATCTTACACGAGCGCGAAAGCCATTGTTCTGCAAGTTGAGCATGAGTAACATGGGCACCTTTAACCTGCATGTGTTAAATTAATTCAGTGATGCACCTTCAAAAAGATATACATCCCCTCAAACCAAAAATCACTAAATTGTGAAGTATTAATGTCCAGAGATCATACGCATGTTGGTACAATACATTAAAGAACAAATAACTTCAGTAAGAATTAGAATAATTGTCCAGATGGAAAATTTTCAAGGCAATGAGGATGATAAATACCTCATCCAAAGAGCAACACATGCCCTACAACTACAACCACCAAAAAGGAGAGAGCTCTATCACCGGATAGGATGCTATGGCATTACAGGAATTAAAGTAGAACATAGCAGAAGGCCTTATTAATGAGTTTCACAAATCCAAAGTCTAGGTAGATTCAGTTTCTGAACCAGTTTGAAGAGACTTCACTTGAATCTCTACCATTAATGGTAACTCAAGAACAAGATAAACAGGAATCATAAAGGAAACCACAAGTTAAACCCACTAGCCAAACTAATGTCTATCGAGAAGCATTTCAAAAGAAACTAATCTGCAGCAATAACACTCTTTGACAACTAATTTTCCTCTTAGCCACCGTAAATCAAATCACCACAGCTATCAAATCATCGCTTATAATCAAATTAAAGCTATTCCACATTCATGTTACTTTATAACTGAATAGTGGGGCGAAAAACACATGGTATAACCAAATTCATCACTAACTAAAGATGGAACAATCCTTGAACAAATATCCAAAAGAAAATGATTAAACCTTCTTTTTCGAAGCATTCAATTCATTAGAACATGAGATATTCCTTTCTAAACCATCACTCTGTGGTATTTCCTCCGAAGCATGTTTATCCACTATAAGCACTAAATCAGCCAATTCTGCCAGAGTATGACGATAAAGGAGACGACGTTTCCTGGATTTGCACTCACAAAGGTGTTCCCAGTGCTGCATGATAAACAAATGCTGTCAGCAAAATCAGAATAAAACATTAAAAGTAACAATGCTAAAGGACTTCAAGATAGGATGACCCCCAAGCACGTTCAGCACAGAATTCTAGAATCAAATCCGTTTCAAGAAATTAGCCTCAAAAGGAAGCAGTAACATTGGGTGGCAGGAAAACCAACAGAATGCTTTGTATTATAAAAAATCCCATTATATACAAAACCACAGGCTTTTATATCCATAAAGTTTCCAGTCATCTGGCATCAAGGAAAACTAACCTCAATAACTAAGGGAAACCATAATGAAAAATAAAAATCTATGCATATTGAATTTTGCAGAGGATGGCCAAGCAATAAGAGCTCAAAATATCAAAACTGTTTCAAGAATTTAAATGTATCTACAGATATTAGCAAAGACAATGCAAATGCATTGGACTATGGCTTAAGTCATTTGCTTGAAAATTATTATTAAGATCAGAAATTATCAGTACCAACTTAAGTTACCTCCAGGCACACGAAAGCAGATGGCCTGCAGCGGCAAACAACAGCAGAAAGATACAAATACTGCTTACAAATGATGCATGTTGGATCCTATAAAAGCCATCAGGAGATATCATCATGATCAAGTACTGTCTAGTTATAAATGCGTCGAAAATAAAGAAATCAAAACCAGAGTCCTTTCTCCATCCATGAGTATCACCTCTTCAGTACCCACAAATTCAGGAGATTTCCGAGGAGACATGGGAGATGATCTTCTTATGCCACTATCCCAAAGCCTCTCCCTCCATGTCCTTTCTTTAGAATATATTCTGAGTAATTCTTTTCTCAAATAAGCTGATGCTTTGCTATCCCAATCACTCTGCTCAAAACCAAACAATGCAATAAAAAAATAGGAATCATTTGGGATCTGACATCTACATTCAACATAGGTTCAATTTAACTCCACCGCTCATAGTGACTCACATTCATCTTGGTTTTCTTTATCACAAATAACTATAAGACCATTAAACTGTTATGTTTAATGACACTTATATCTGAAATAATGGATAGCAGATAAGGAAACTTATACCTTGGCCACCACACAAAGAAGCTCCTCATGAGATAACACAGCAGCTTTATGATATAATTGATACAGCTCAGCCCCAGACCCACCATGTGGTAACCAATCAGCAGGAGCAAAATTTACAGCCTCTGCACAATTTAAACCTGAAAAGACAAAGCAAGGTTCACCACGAATGATTCTTTATAAGTTTAGAACACACAAAATCCTATCTTTAAATCGAGAAAGTACTAACTTGAAAAAATTATGAAAGCTTACCCAAATTGAATCCTCCATGATAAGATCTAGGGAATGTAATGACAAAATTTCCTGGCTCCTAGCAAAAGTCAAGCATGCAACAATTAAATAAAAGAAATCTAGGGCAACAAACAAAATTGATCAACATGCACCAAAACAAAAAGAGAACTGTTAAAAGTGTCTGGTAGGCAGATTAAGGTGATATTTATAGAAAATATTTTGTAATTAATACATTGTCCCTCTGGATTTTAGTGAGAATAGTACATTAAATACAAAAACCTTTCTTAAACTAGTATCTTAATTACCCTTAACCAGTGCCTATGGCCTATTGGCACCTATTGACCAGCCCAACCAAAAATAACAATTACTTAAAAGAAAAGACATTAAACAGCCACCTCAAAGTTCACATGAAAAGTAAAAACAACTCGTAAATACATGAACCTAGCACAGATGCAACCAAAAAAAAAACCTTCCACTGCAACTTTCAGCTAATATATGCAATAAAAACAGCATATATGCATGGGATTGGTAGCACCGAACATCCAACTTACTCACATACCGAGTTCTAAACCCACAGCCACTTTTAAAAAAACAATAAATTTGAGCAAACATAAGACTCGAACTATTTTCTTTATCCAATTATAAAACAAATTGAAATAAATAAAAGAAAACCTGTAGCACGCTATAGACCGGAACACCATTTTCTCGCAATACGGATGGATTTAACATGGTAACAAGCTGAAAGAGCAAGTCAGGTTGTGCATCAAATAGATCAGGAAGACAATCGTGCATCACCTACAAAGAGTGGACAATGTTAGCTGCATACATGCTTTGAAAACAAGAGAGACCATTACCCAAATTCGTGAAAATGCCAGTGAGGAACCGTGAATGCATTAGCTTGGATGCTAACAAAAGGACCATCCATCCATCAAAAAAAGCAAAATGGGGGCAAATCATGTTGCAAATAAATTTTTTTGTCAAGAAACAACAAATAGAAGTTTAAATATTACTATTGTATCAAATGAGGGAAAAAAAATAAAAAGATAAGTAAAGCAACAAGAAAAGAAAATTACTTTAAAGAACTCACATGGCAAACTGCAATATATTGTATTAAAATTATAAAAGACTACCTTCTCAAAAGCACTAGCTTCATTACCAGGGACACTGTACCAACATTTTTGCTCTCCCCTGCAAGCACAAAACAAAAAAATCAAACCTCGGATAAAATCAATTAAATTTTGATGCATATCTTTTATATAGAGCTATAGAAATGAATTCTATTTTGAAAAAAGGAAAATTTATTCTACCATGTCCGCTTTCATTAACATTATGTTAATATCATTTAGGTAAATTGAAACATATGCCAACTAAATTATTTATATTATTACTTGAATATTCTCCTCAGTCCTCCAGTAATGTCTTCATTGCTTCTAAAAAGAGCCTAAACATAAAATTCCTAGATGAAAAGCACAAATGGACCAGACATTATAGGTCCATGGAGTATATCTGAACACAGACATGATCAGTTAAAACCTAAACCATCTTCAAGATATTAAACTTTTACTCTAAATTCCTCTATATAATTTTTAGCTAACTTTTTGACTTCCTATAAAGTACATGCCCTAGTAATAGGAAACAGCCTAGACATATGTTATAACATAACCACACAAATCATGTCTCAGTAAACCTCAAAAGCAATAAGAAGAGTCTGTAAACATGAACAACTGAAAAAGAAGTGCATACGACTTTACAGGAAACATACCAGTGAAGATAGTTCATTGAGTAAAAACAATGATCTTCAAAATGCCAGCAGAACGCTGAGAATAGCATCCCAACATACAGCCAAGGAACCATGACACCTGTAATGTTATGGTGAACAGCCCGCAGCATTGAACCTTTCAACTTGGGCAAGTTATTGAGATTCCATGGGCTCCTACAGTATTCATCCCAAGCCTTAAGCTCAACAGATTCTGGCCTCTGGTCATTTACACGTGGAAAACCACTCCCATAAACAGAAGTATCCAGATCACTTCCATACATAACTTCCACCTCACCTGCCGATCCCTCCACAATCTCCCAAAACTTTTTCTCTATTTGTACCCTCGAAGCACATGCTGATCCAAACCATTTCTTCTTGGCTCGATCAGCCAAACGCCTAAAAGCTTCCAAAGTAAACCGCTTGCCAGGAACAAAACCAAAACTATCCTTATCAGAATTCAGGCACTCAAAGCAATACCAGTTACCTGGTGGTACCTGCTTCAATGGTGGTGACAGACAATATATATGCCACCCCTTGTTACATCTATCACAAAGTAGCATCACTTCACCATGTAACCCACTTCTGCATTGTTCACATATCTGATCAAGCTCTTCCTCCTCTACCTTACAGACCTTAACTTTCTCATGGTCACTATTCTTCCGTCTCCTCTTGGAGCTAGAAACTTTAACCTTATTTTCACTTTTTGCGTCCTCATGAATGCCTCTCTTGCAACTTTTTCCCCTCTCCCAATTCAATAGTTTATAATAACCCTCATAATCATACAAATGCTCTCTATACAACTGACACAACACATGCTTAGCACACTCTGAAATCTTCTTCCCTGACCTCACAAACCTAAAAACCTCCCCCCACTTCTTATCCTTCACAACCTTATCATAACCCCCATACCTCCTCACCGCATTAAACAATTTACATAAATCCAACTCCTCCCCTTCAAAAACCACTCTCTTTTTCAATTTCTTACCGCAATGTCCTTCCAAAAACCTATTATACTCTAATTCAAAAGTCTTGGAATCACATGAAGCAGGCCTTGCCTGCAACTGATGAATGGCTTGTGTTTTCGTAGGAAAAGTAAAAGAATCCACATTCAATGCAAATGGAGGGCTCCAATTTTTAGGTGGAACAATCTTACAAATCCCATAAGGCTCAGCATCAGGCCTGATCTTATAAATATACTCTAATGGGTCCCTAAATTCCTCTTCACTAGGGTAATAAACCGGCCCCGAGGGTATACTCAATGACCCAGTCGATGAAACACTCAGGTTTTGCCCTGTTTCAACTGCCCTAGTTCTCCCCTTCCCCATCAACACCACCACTCCAACACATTCAATCTATACAAAACACCATGCAAATATAAATATGAATTACACAACTCTTTTTCACAAACAATAATTATCAGTAAAATATTCTTTACTTCAAATTCAAGTAATAAAGAAATTAAAAAAAATAAAAGAGTAAAATTTTCTAGGGTTTTAAGCGTACCTTAGCGGAGATTGTGAAGTTCTCTTTGTCAGTAAGAGAGAAAAGGAAAAAAAAAGACAGAAATGAGTTTCGTGGAAGATTTGGCTCTAAAAAAAAATGAACCCTGTTATTTATTAATGCAAGGGCATGTGATTTTACTTAAAGAGGATCTACATTTGGTCAAATTTACGAAATTGGTAATTCACTTTCCTGGGGTTTGTTATTGTAGACCGCCGATCTTCGTCGTTATTCTGATAGTATCCATCGAGTTTTGAGGAAAAATCCACGCGCGGTTTGGAATGCACGCTTGGTTTGGGAAGGAAATAGAATTATTTAGGGGTGAAATGGTTGGATGAGATTCAGTTTCGTGTGCAAGAGAGTCGATTATGGCGAGTGATACTTGTAACTTGTTTTTAGCATCTAACATTACCGTTGTGTGCACGTGTCACGGCCTTATAATACAGCATGAAGGTATTTGTAGACGTTGACTTCGGATGAACGGCTGTGATCATTCGTACAGTTCTTGATTAGAGAAGAAATTTGTTTTTTTCATTTTATTATTTTCTTCTTTATTAGAGTCTAAAAAAAAAAAAATCAATGTATAACAATTACGTTAATATCTAGATTTCCTTTACAAAAAAATTAAGTACAAAGAGATTACTTCATTTCATAATCAAGATATTGCAGAATTCTCTAAAAATATATATAATAGATTTCATTGAAATTTTACATTAAATTTATAAATTATTTATTAAAAATATTATTAATAATAAAATTCAAAATTAAATCTTACAAATAAGATATTTAATATTTATCATTAATTTATTCAAAATTTTCATGTAAACTATATAACCTTCTAATCAAGAAAATAACGTTAAAATATGGGTTAGATTCTTCTTTGGAACACTCATTCAACAAAATTTTCTTCTTTTGAAATGAATTTATGTTAGAATTTTTTTGATGCAAAGACACTTTTCTTATTGTTTCTTTTGTTGGGCTTGGATTTAGCCTATATACAATGAATCAAGCCTGCTAATTCATATCTGATCATCTAACCCAATCCCTTTTTTTTTTGCTTTTCTTTTTCTTTTTCCTTTTTGTGTACTTTTTTGCTATTCTTTCCTCTCTTTTTTTTTTTTCTGTTTCGAACAATGAGTTTTTTTTATGATATCATTTCTTTTTTTAGCTGAGGAAAAAAATCAAATATTATTTCTTAAGTAAGAAATTTGGGGCACCAAATAAATTAATTAACTTCCTCTTATTGTTTATTTTTAGATTGCAATTTTTTTATTAAAACAAAGTTACATCTTTACTTATAAGTCAAAATCTTTTTTTCTAATTTTTAATCTATCCTTAATTTTTTTTACCTAATTATATAATTAGTTTAATAAAATATTATGCACTTAAATTTTTTTAAAATTTATAACATTTAAATATCAATTTCAATAATATATCAACTCATTCAAAATATAATAAATAATATTTGATTATTAAACGTGTGAAATTTTGTCCCTTCAACAAACTCAAATTCATTTGGAGTAATTTGTATATGATAATTAACACGTGTTAGATTTATTTCAATTTAACTTTATTTATTTATTTATTCATTTGGTTTATTATTTGGTTCAAGATGCATCACGATCACTATCTAGGGACTTATTTTTTCACCAATGGCTAGAGTTTCTGTCTTTCTCAATACCTTCACCTAATTCGCCGACGCAACAAATCTCCCCAACCTAATGAAGGCAACAATAAGCATCGTGCTTAGGGACGGCAATCAAGCTTATCTCCGACGGGTTTTGCTCTGACCCAATCTTATAGGATCGAGTTTTATTTTTTTTTTATTTCGAATCGGATCGGATAAAATTATGTAACATTCGAGATCGGGTCGGGTTCGAGTATGTCTAAAACTCAACCCGACATTATTAAAAAATTATTTTTTAATTAATTAATTATATATTTATATAATGATATTTTTAAATATTTATATTTAAAAAATAATATTTATATTTAAAAATAATAATATTTTTATTAATTTTGGATCGGATCGGATACGATTTACATATTATCGGGTCGGATCAGATTCGAATATTAAAAAATTCGGGTCGGATTCGAATTTAGTAAAACATAAAATCAGATCGGATTCGAGGTAAGCAAAATCCTTCCCGAATTCGACCCGATATTATCCCTAATCGTGCTTTCCGGACGATGCCCATATGCCATCCCTGTTGAATACAGTTTAGGGAATACTTATTCGGTTTGTTTTGTAACATTGAAATTTTTTCATTTTTTTTAGCAATGCTACTTTTCAGTGTATAACATGTTTGGTAGCACCTCGACATCGCACAATTCCTGCCATTTATTAAAATTTAATGTTTATAACAACAATTAAGCAATGTCGGTTGGAGATTTCAAAGATCACCGTAAAATTTTTTGTCTCTTCATTAAATTATATCGACATATATGTTTATTTTATTTGTGCATTTTTTTTTACTATCAAAAAATCGTAAAAGGAAAATGAATTTTGAGTTGAAAAACATTGTGTGCCCTAACATTTTTCTAATATTATCATGTGATTTGAGAATTGGAAAATGTAATATTAATTATAGTTGAAATTAGCATTATTTTATTTTAATTTTACAACTAATTGTTTGATAAGCTAAGATTCATGATTGAAAAATCAAACTAATTAAAATGCATCTATGTAATTGGTTCGATCCAAAAAAAAAATTTAAGCTAAATGAACATTGGACCAACAAGAACTAATCAACTATATCAATTAAATTGGACCGAATTGTATATCAAATCAATTTTAATTGAATTAAAAAACTAAGATAAAGTTGTTTTAACAAAATTAAGTGATTAAACTTTATTGTTAAAAAATTAACCAAGTTGAGGTTACTTTAACTACTATATCATAAATAAATTTTGTTAATTTAGCGCCATTAGTCTTGGGATTTTTTTCAAATATTGCAAGTTTGATAGTTTGATAGGTCAAATTATATTGTCTATTCGCATACTTTGATCAAATTGTGGAATTAATCTATTTATTTTAATATATTCAAATTAAATACTATATATCAATTAATTATCGGATTTAATCAAAATATTAATGGTTTTAATTTTTTTTCGTTGAAATTAATTATATGATTTTTTTACTTATGTGACAATTAACTTTGTTAACATATTGTTTTTTTTTTTATAATGTGATAAAATTTTTGCCACATTAACACTTTTTATAAACTAACTTATTTCAAATTATATTGTTTATCCTTATACTTTCATCAAAATGTAAAATTAGTCTATCTTAATTTATTCAAATCGTATATTTATACATTAATTAATTGTTAAATTTAGGGTTTGGCTTGAAGATAAGCACAACAAAAATATTATTCAATACAAGTGGATCAGATTGTAACCTAGTCAGATAAATTTTGACCTTAATTGTGATATTTTTTCCACATTTAGATTATTTTTCTTGGACATTTAAATTATTAATTGGATTTTAAATTGATAAATTAGGTTTTAATTTCAATTTGGATTTTAAGTCTAATATTAATATGATTATTCATTTTCTTTTTTATTTTTTTTATTTTTAGTTATTTTAAATTTTATTTTCAATATTTTAAAAATATGAAAATATAAAATATAAAAATATAAAAGATTAAAAAAAAAAACTTTAAAAACATGATAAAAACATATAAGCCATATCAAAAAACTGGAATCAACAAACCAAACAAACCATATACCCAATTAATAATAAAAATAATAATAAGAAAATACAGTAGTATTAATGTCAGTTCTTAGGTTTTGGTGGCTTTTGGGTTTTTTGAGATAAAAATTTTCGGCAGTTTCAATTATCAAAATTTGAAAATCTCATCCAAATTTAGGCTTGTAAAATTTTTTCATGAAACTTGTAAAGAGAAAGAAAAAGAAATCGGAGAAGAAAATATGAAAATAAATTTTTTTTTGTTTTTATAATATGTTGAATATCGATATTTTTGAATGCAGGTTTGGTGCATCCCGCATTGATTTAGCTATGATGCCATTCGGTTGCATTAAAAAATTTTTTTTTTTGGGTTTATCTAAGATTGAACTGTAAAATTGACAATTAATTAATATATAAAGATCAAATTTAAATATATTAAAATATAAATACTAATTTCATCATATAATGAAATAATAAAAATGAATCGTATAATTAAAAATAAAATAAAAATTTTAAAAAAATACCGAGGTAACAAAAATTTTACCACATCATCATAAAAATATTGACACATCAAAAATTCAATAATCACGTAAATAAAAAGTGTCACATCATAAAAATTAAAAATCACATAATTAATTTTTATAAAAAAAATCGAACTATTAATAATTTGATTTAATTTGATAAATAATTAATGCATAAAAATATCAAGATAAAAAGATTAATTTCACCGTAGAGAGATGAGTAATAGAATTTGACAAAATTTATAAGATAAATCTTCATTTTTGTTGGAATTAAAAAACAATAAACCTTGCAATGTAACAGGATTATTTAGAAAAGTTGAAGGGTGGGTAAAGACAACGTTCCGTGGAGATTTAATTGTAAAAGTGGCCCCGTGATTGGCTCATTTGTCATCGTCTATAATGGAACCAAGCAATATTGTCAAATCTCCTTTTCTGTTGTGTATGCTTTTTGCCTGTAATAATAAATGATGGTAATTCACAACACGTAAATGTTTCAATGATTCACCAAACCAATAATAAATTACATAAATACACAAATGTCTTTTTCAGGTATAAATATGGCCTATAAGGCTAATACTATTTGCGTTTAGCTGAGTTAGATTAATATTTGTGCTTTTAGTAATAAAATGATAAACAAAATAGAGTGGTTGCATTATTTATTTTTATGATCTAAAAAATTAAATAAAATTAAATAAAATAAATGATGAGTAGATAAGGATGTTCAATGTATGAAACAATTAAAAATATATATATTGGATGAGTCTGGAGATATGATAGGATAATTAAGTTACTAATAACACCCTTTTTTTTTTTTTTGCTTTAATTTGATTTAGACCACCTAGCAAAAATGCTTGATATTCAACGAAAAAAAAATTGTCAAACTTTATATTTTTTA